TCACAGAAAAGAATGATAAACCATCCTTATCTTAATCTGCTGCATTTGGTGTTGTGAACATGTGGAATGTGTTATGGAGATTTGTTTACCAAATCGTGGTTTCTTAATTAACCAATGGTGATGGTGTTTAGACTGAAGGACAAATCAAGTCCAGCTTTGGACTAGGAATCACCTGGAGTCACCTGGGTGTACCATAATTTCTATAAAAGCAATGAGTTTCTTAAAAAAGATGAATGAATTAATAAGCCAATGGTGATGGTGTTTAGATTGAAGGACCAATCAAGTCCAGCTGTATCATAACTGTCTATAAAAACAATGAGTTTCTTAATAAAGATTAATGGAACAGGGGCTCCATTTTTCCCAAAGCCATTCCCAAAGCCAGGATGGATGGTGCAGTGCCCAGGGGCTGCCCCATCCATCCTGGGAGCATCCAAGGCTGGGTTGGACAGGGTTTGGAGCAATCTGGGATGTGGCAGCAGCTCTGTGGCCACAGAGAACAACAGATGACTTTCCCAGGCATTGTTCTGTGAGAAAACATGAAGAAAGGCCGTGAGAAGATCAGAGAAAAGAATGATAAACAATTCTTATCTTAACCTGCTGCACCTGGTGTTTGTGAATATGTGGAATGTGTTATGGAGATTTGTTTATCAAAAGGTCATTTCTTAATTAGCCAATGGTGATGGTGTTTAGATTGAAGGACCAATCAGGTGCAGCTGTATCATAACTGTCTATAAAAGCAATGAGTTTCTTAATAAAGATTAATCTGTAATCATGGAGTCTATGCTAATTATTACCTGACCAGGTAATACTGAGACAGTGGGATGTGTTGGGGCTGGAACTGGACAAACTTTACGATCCCTTTCCACCCAAACCATCCTGGGATTCTGGAACCTCCCAGTTGTTCCAAGCCCTGCCCAACCTGTCCATGGAACAGCCNCCCCAGGAATTCCAAAAATTCCCAAAATTCCCAGAATTTCCACAATTCACAGAATCACTGGGTTGAAAGAGACCTTCAAGATCATCAAGTCCAACACATTCCCAACACCTCAACTCAACCCTGGCACCCAGTGCCACACCCAGGTTTTGTTAAACGCACCCAGGGATGGGGACTACAGCACTTCCCTGGGCAGAACATTCCAGAACTTTATCACTCTTTCTGTAAATAACTTTTTCCTAATATCCAGCCTAAATTTCCCTTGGTGCAGCTCAAGGCTGTGTCCTCTGGTTGTGTCAGTTCCTGGAGAAGGAGCCCAACCCCACCTGAGCACAGGCACCTTTCAGGCCACCAGCCTGTGGGGGCCACAGGACTGAGGTGTCTCCCCCTGCTTTGGGGTGTTTGGGGTGCAAATGGAAGCACCAAAGGATCCAGCATTGTGCTCGTGCCATGGAATGTCATTGTCCTATCATCCCCAGGACAGGGCATGGTGAGGTGACATCCCCCTGGGAGCAGGGACCTGCACAGTGTCACCTTCCCATGCGTCACTCACAGGCAGCCGCTGCTGAGCTCCTCCAGGACCCCGCGGAGCCGGCGCTCCGGGTGCGGCTTCTCCGTCTTGATCATCTCCTGCACGTCATTGAGGCCCTCCTCCTGCAGCACCAATGGGGACAGTGTGAGGGACAGAGGGCTGGGAACCGCCTGGGATCACCTGGGGTCATCTGGGTGGGCTGGGAATCACCTGGGAATCATTTGGGATTACCTGAGCTGGGAACAATCTGGGGATCACCTGGGCTGGGAATACCTGGGATCACCAGAGCTGGTTTGGTGATCACCTGGGTTCTTCTGGGTTCATCTAGGATCACCTGGGCTGGGCTGGAAATGCCTGGGATCGCCTGGGAATCACTTGGGATCACCTGGGATCACCTGGGGATGATCTGGGATCACATGGGCTGGGAACTACCTGAGATCACCTGGGATCACCTGGGCTGTGCTGGGCATCACCTGGGATCATCTGGGATTACCTGGGCTGGGAACCACCTGTGGATCAGCTGGGCTGGGCATCACCTGGGATCACTTGATCTGGGAATCACCTGGGATCACCTGGGTGGGCTGGGCATCACCTGAGATCATCTGGGATTACCTGGGCTGGGCTGAGCTGGGAACCACCTGGCCTCCCCACCCTCACAGGGAAGAATTCCATGCCAATATCCTGCCTAAATCTCCCCTTTCCCAGTTTGTACCCATTTCCCTGCGTCCTGTCCCTCCATGTTTGTCCCCAATCCCTCTCCAGCTCTCCTGGAGCTCCTTTAGGCTCTGGAAGGGGCTCTGAGCTCTCCCCGGAGCTTTCCCTTCTCTGGCT